TAATTTTAAAATATTATTTTTTACATCAATTTATTAAAATAATTAATTATTTATATCATTCACCTAATTTACTCTAGTTTTAACTCATTGCAAATATTTAAGTAAACGTCTACTAAAACAAACTTTTATGAAACATAGGGACAACATATGGCAATTTTGTCTAAATGAAAAAAGTTCAGTTAATGTAAGGGAACACAATGGAAATTATGTAAAAAAAACATAATTTATCAGTACAATGCATCATAGTAAAACATTATATAATATGATCATTATAAATATATTAATACATAATAAATATTAAAAACTTAAAGAAAAAATAATATTTTTTGATATTAAGATACACAATGCATATTTTTTACAAACCAAGGCCACATAAATAAAAATAAAAATAAATGGAAATAACCATTTGTTAATGACAAAAGACTTTTCGTGATATTTATTTTCAAATATTGATATTATCAATCAATTTTTTATGTTATATTTATGTTTTATAAATAATGTTTTTTTATCATCTTTAATTTCTTTATTTTTTCATATCCTATACTACTATACACCCTGTGTTTAGAGGTATCAGAATTTACCAACGGTATTCCAGGCCTATCGTAGAAGTAGACTAAGGAGGCCGAACGACCAACGGCATGAGCGATCTAACTGTTGTCAGCCAATAGCTTTGGGTGGAGGAGCCGACAAGAAAAGGGCATTATTTTGTTCTAGAGTTGGAAAACCGGCTCTATAGGCGGATGAACAACAGAAATGTGATCAACGACATTAGGAAGAGAAAGAATTTTCCGACAAACCATCTCATTAAAGATCTAGAATGGAAAAGTCCTAGTATAAATCATCATGACTACGAGTGCGGTTAAATCACTAACAAAACTCGTATATCAATGGTGATCACCAACATCCGAAACGGATCAGCACATTAAGAAGAAGATTATTATACTATAATAAATGTTTAAGTTAATAAATAAATACTAAAGTAGTACGATACCTCATCGGTGATTATATCAACCCAATAAATTAAATCAATTCATTCGTCTTTGTACCGTAAGTTGTTGTTATTATTATTATTATTATTATTATTATTATTATTACTAAATCTAGACACATCTTATTGAGTTTTTAGTTATACTAATTACTCGTTATGAATAATATAATAATAAACTAAAAAAATACACGGTGTGTGAAAATTGACCATACATTTTATAGTTTTATTTACTGATTACTAATACAATATTATAACTACGATACCATTATGGCTGGTTAATGATATGTACTAAAATTGCGTATGCAATGCGCCGTGTTAAAAAAAAAAATATTAAAATTGCATTTGTTTTACAATATTGTTTTTTATTACTGATTACTTATACAAACTTAATATGCAAAATACAATATCTGATATATTATTTTTAATTATTCCTTTGTTTCAATTATTTGGTAATCAGTTACTTTATGATGTATTTTGTGATTACTTTTATTCTTAATTTTATTTGAAAATCCCAAAAATTGTCATCGCATACCACTGTTTGATTATTTCTCAATAATCAAACAGTGGTATGAATAAACTAAATAAGCAATTGGTATGTGTAATTTATTATATTTTAAAAATTTACCAATTTCGTATTTATGTTTTTTTAACTGCGACTATATTGCTATTATGTGAAAAAAATATTTAGCGTAAAAATGAATGTAAATTAAACTTAATTTTAAATTACTGTTTTTTGTAATATTTTCATTTAAGTAAATAACCAACAGAAAAAGGGTTGAATAATGACAAGCAAAAGTACTGCTATCATTTACCAAACTTAGTTCTTTGCAAAATATAACCATTGTGACAACATCAATTTGCTTGTTGACAAAAACGTTTAGGTAGATTCTACCTTCATTTTAGACACAACATGTCATTTTTTCGTTGGATTTCGATACGGAACTTAATATTGTGTAAGAGTCAAACAAAAAAATAAAATAAAAAAAATAAAACTTTAGAGGAAACAATTAATAATTAATCGGATTTAAAAATACAGTAAGTTTTCGTTTAACGTCGTTGTTAAGTTCCTAGAAAACACAACGTTAACTGAAAAACACGTAAATTGAAATACTTTATTACAATGGGTTCTTGAGAAGAAATAACAATTTTCATATTTATTTTCATTACACAAGTTAATAATTGTTTGTATTAAATTATATTAAATAACATATTATACTAAAAATTATAATCAGATTTAAGAACGTATTTAAAATTTGTTTTTTAAGATATGAAAAACGATTACGGAGTACATATTACCTAAGACAAATAAAAATAACACCGACGTATGATAGGTATATCAGTCAAAATGATCAAAAGGATAACAGTATTATCTGAAAAAGGTCGAAAAAATTAAATTACTTACTGTGATGACTTATACAGAAATATTATATAAACGCATATAACAAACATTTAATGAACACATTTATTATAAAAGGCGTTATACTGAAACCGTTGCAGTGTTAATCGAAATACAAAGACTTTAACTTCTACGACGCAATAGCAAAACAACGCTAAATAAGTTGACGTCAAACGAAGAGTGAAGACTTACTGTAGTAGAAATCTTTCGTTTTTTATAATTTTTATGGAATCATTCAATCTCTAGGTAATTTAGATTTTAATATCACCTACACAAATCGATGTAATAATATTAAGTATTAATGTGTTTTTATTCTATTTATATTTAACACAATTAAGTCGTATTACAAAAAAAAAAAAGTTAAAAAAAGCTTTACAAACATTTATAGTTATTAACGTTGACATTAAATTTAAATAATACATTTTTATTTCTATCGATAATCAGTTAATAAATTGCAATAATTTTGTTCGATATTTTATTAACATCCGATCTACTAAAATTATACGTTTTATCGTAACTAATATATTGTTTTCAGTTATATAATTTATTGGTGTTATAATATTATTGTCATTATCCTAATATCTCCTTAGTTTCATCTGATGTTTAATCCTTATTTAGATGTACGTAATATCACTATTATTCTTATAAAAAAACCTATCTTTAGTAAACATATGGAATAAATATTTTTTTTTTTTTTAATAAAAAATATACTATTATATTGCAATAATAATAAAGCTATTTTTATTTAAGCGCTGTTGCCTTGAGATTGTGAAACACGCATTTTTAACGAATTTGATCTTTTGGCACGTTTTTGCGCTATTGCGGACTATGGTAAACCACTTGTTACTACGATCGTACGATTTTCAGTAGATTTGGTCACGTTCGGCTTATGATTTCCACTCAAAACTAACGAGTATGTTGTTATTTAAGGACTTTTTATGATAATATAAATTGAGCGTTTTGATTTGATCGTTTTAAATTTAATTTTAACTCTCCTGTTTATCCTTTAAAATTCGTACAAAGTGCAACCTGTATCATCATTGTTTCTGTATTTGTTTATTTTATAATATATATCCAGTTGAAATTGATTCAAGTTCGTTCAATAGTTAATACATTATTATTTAAGATTTTAATTAAACTATTAGATACTCGATAGACTGTGGAGGAATGTTTTGATCGACATCTCTGTTTTAGACAACCGTCTTCTCGAAGGATATTAATTATAATTTCTTGAACATAATATTCTAGAACTCATAGCAAAACTTTATCGCAAAGTTTTCTAAAACTTTGATTGTAATTTAAATTGTTAAGAGAAAATTTTAGACGGTTCAACGAATAGTATAATATTATGATATGATTGCGCAGTATACAATATACATAACAGAAAATATTCTAAGAAACAGTGTAATTTGATTCTTATTGAAACTAAAACAAATTTATATGAAATATATAATTATTAACATCGTATGGTCAATTATTTAATATAAATTAATTTAATTCACATTTTAACGCCAAAAACGCACTTAGGCGTTAGGTTAAATTTATCGTGTAGATATATTTATATGAAATTAAATCAAATAATCCAAATTAAGGTAAACTAAAATAATAAGTGGCTTAAACATCTTAATATTTTGCTGTACTTGTACAGCTATAGTCTATATCAAAATATTGAATTTTCGATTTTCATCTTATTTTAATGATTTAATGATTAACAATTTTGATAAATTTTGTTGATATTTCACATTATTTTACCTGGCGTAGGTAGGTATAATATCCATAATTTAGTATTGCTATTGCATTTGATAATTTTTTCGGCTTTATTTAAATTTGATTACAGCTCATTAAATAATAATTATAATGAACTTTCAAAACGTTTTTGAATAGAAAAAGTTTATAAAACACAAATTAATTTATTTAAAGTTTTATTATTTTTTTTTTTTATTTTAAAAATATTAGTATTGACGCTTACACTTAAAAATAAAATGCAAATTTATACTATATATATATATTTTTGTATAAAATTTGTATACGTTTATATAGACGTATAAAGTTTTGGACGTTTCGAGTAATGGGCTGACGTTGGGTAAGATGGATTTTATGTTAAATAAACAAAATTAATAATTTGATTACCCCCCCCCCCCAAAAAAAAAAAAAAAAAAAAAAAAAAAAAAACAGCTCAGAAATTCCATTTTATGAGATAAGTGTTTTTAAGCAATAGGACTTTGTCCAAAATATGCTTCGACAAAGTTACCATAATTTTCATTCTTGTACTACATTTAGCGAAATGGTTTCAAACTGTAATCGTTCCTAAGTATTTCACTGCTGCTATCGCTGTTTATCGTAAACTTCCGAAACACACGATTAACATACCGGCAGGCAATAACTATTAAATTAACTTGTCACAACGTTTCGCGTAAGTACAATATTATTATTCCAATATTATCACGTTAGCGATACATCAAAATATATTGCACTTGATGTGAGAGTGAAGGGTTATCGTATAAAGGCGTTCGGGAGGCACAAAGCAATTGGAAGTAGCACGATGTGTGTTGTTTATTTAATACCTGTGTACGATTAAGTGAATTTAACGATCGCATAACATTTTCTTGTACTTACGTCGAACGATCCTTTGATCAACGGCCCTGCTTGGCCTATGTATAACGTGGACGCCGAGTCGAACAACAATTCCACCGGATCTCTGACTGCCATCACGGTCTGCGGTTCCAAACACCTACCGAATAACCGCACGTACTCTCTGGTCACCTTCAAACTCAACCGTACGTATTTCCGAATCTTCCAAGGAACTGAAAACGTGGCTAAGACATTTGATGACGATGAGTATTTGTTCACGTCTGTATACAGCAAGCTCACATTCATCGCGTTTGACGATGATGGTACGACCTGCAAGCCCAGTTGCACCACCTGAAAAACACGAACATCGTCACAATGTTTAGTGAAGCGTAGATTACGGTTTTAGTCATGGAAAGACATAATAATGGTATCGTTGTATATCCCATCAAACATTTTATTTAAATTTAAAAAAAAAAAATTATACAATCTGTATAATTTTTATAAAATATGTTTTGTCTAAAAATACTGTTGACTTATTTAGATATCAATAGTATATAATATTATTTAAGATTAAAATCATATCAAGAAATCTACTGATCATCAGAAATAAGAATCAAATTATTATTAATATTTTTTTTTTCTTTTTTTAACAGAATTCTATATTACGCTATCTATTACAATTAATGAACAATAAGCTTAAGTGATAATAATAGAAAAATAAAAACAGACAGAAGAGACTGAGGGAAGAAACCTCCCATCGGAGGTACTTCAGTGTTTTTTAATATGAGTGTAAAATAAAAACTGCATAAATATAGTGTAAAAATATTATTAATTTACTTACGAATATTAATAAATTTAACAACTTCCCTCATATCTATATAATATTATAATAAGCATGGTTATTTTAAAATCATTCATGTTAGTATAGGATAATGTTATTACCTATTTATTTTTTTAATGTTCTTAAATCTTCATTGTACTTACTTAGCATTATTATTATGATAGTAATACATTTATTATGCACAAAATACTCTTTTTTTTTGTGTGTGCAACGTTGTTATAGTCTAAATAAAGTGCTTACAATTATTAAAAAATACTCATTTCCACGATTTTTCTAAATTGTTAATTTCACGGATCATTTATTTTTTCGTTATTTTTAAATGTATTATTTCATTCCAATCGTTCTATCCAAGTAAATTTTTTAATAAAAAATAAATTACTGACTACTTTAATAGTAAAAAATATTTTTCTCTTTTTTATGTTTGATTTTCAACATCCGTAGTTTTTGCAAAGTTTCTTCACAAATGTCAAAAATATTTGAAGGTTATTGTATAAAAAATATATTGAAATATTAAATTATACTCATGATTATACTCATGAATGTATAATATATCTAAAATTTAATGTCTTATTTATTTATAGTTTTGTCAAAAAATAAAAAAATATTTAATTTCTTAAAAAAAAAAAAATATTGTAATAACATAGTGTTCGGTAATCCGTAATTGATCTTATACAATTATTATTATAAGCCGTCTAATTTTATCTCGGGCATAAAATAAATAAAAAAATTAAATAAAAAATGGATTGAAGCAAATCGATATAGATTTTTAAGCTTAAAATATGATTTAGGTTAATATTCTTCAATATTTAATAATACTAGTTTGAAAATAGAAACTAAGATTATAATATTATTTTTCAGGTACATAATTTTGGTTAAACAGCTATTATTAACGTACGTTTAGACGTTATATAATTGAAAAAATAATAAATGTGGACACTTCGGAATTTCAAACGACAAAGTCAAAACGCGTTAAAAAATTATTGACATCAAGATATCTGCTGTTTCTCATAAAATATTTGATGGACAATTGTGGTTATTTTAAATGATGAAGATAAGATATTGTTGTTAAAAACTCCAAATTTTTCATAAAAATAAAAAATTACTGTAGATAAATGCAATACAAATATGAATTAAATTAAAAAAAAATTAATTACAATAACCTTTAAAAATGTAATTAATTTTTTTTTTTTATTTCGTGAGTTCAAATATTTTATCATGAGATAACAAATTATATGTTGAGTTGGGTAATTATATTTTTATCTAAATAATTTAAAAATATAAATTATAAATTTTTTAACAGTTACGAATGGTCAACAATATCTTAAAATTATTTATACCAACTCAATTGCGTATATTTATGTTATCAATTAAATTTAATGTAGTACTAGCTTATGAAAAAATAAAAAACTAATCGGTTTTTTCTTTAAATAAAATACATGTAAAACATAATTTTATTCAATTTTTTATCTGTTATTTACATTAAAAATATTAAAATTATTTTTTTATTGTAAACCTATAAACTAAAATTCAAATTTAAAATAAGTTGTGTAGTAAAATGTTTAGTATTTAATTAATTTGGATACATGGATACATATCAATATTTATTATAGCATAATAGTGTATCATATTATTTGTCTTAGTTTTTCTAACGAACAATATTAATTTTTCGCAATAAATTGCTAAATATTTAATAGTTAGAAATTCATAAAAACTTTTAATTTTATATTCCTTATCAGTAATAAGTATTTCATATTGAAACCATAAAATCTAAAAAATTCATTTAGACAATTTATTATATTTTATAGATATTTTAAGATCAAATTTCAAGTTTTCTTATTTAAAAATATAATCTATTTATATTATGAATACTATTTATTCTATAAGTGCAAATTAATAATTCTTTACATTATTTATACTATTCATTCTGTTTTACGGTATTTATAGAAAAATTATAACACATTTTTGTTAGTTATGTAATTTGATGTAAATATAATATATTACTTTAAAAATTAAATACTTTCAATATAATAAATTCAATATTTTTTGAAACAATTATTTCTACTTTTATAAAATTAAAATTAAAATAGATGATTTTAATAAGTATATTAAAAAAAACACACAAAATTTGGTATTATAAGTCGATAGACTATCTCCGCTCTGAATTTTGTTTTATGTACAATTATTATATATAACTGAATTTAAATTTAGTACATTAATATAATATAATACAAACAGATAGGTACCCATTTGCCTATATTTTTAATAAGTACACTAGGTCTTTTTATCTTTAACCACCTCCCTTTACTTTAAACTTTTTGCTAACTACTAGATAAATTGCCTACCAAGAATAAATCCCAATGTTGAAGATACAAGTATTCTTATTGTTTAAAATTTGATAATTGAATAAAAAAAATAAAAAAATAAAATAATGAAAAAATACACTTTGTAGCATTACTAATAAGTATTAAGAGTATCTGAAGCTTATTTAATTTGTATTAATCTATATTAAACAGAATTAAGTATGATATACCAAGTTTTCAGATGTTCCAAATTTCAAATATTCCTCTTTTATTATCCTAATTTAAATGGATATTTTCATTTATTATAACGACATGTATGGCCATACTTACGTTTTCTAAAGGATTGACAACAGCAAACAGAAAACCACCGTCCATAGAGTTGAGTTTGAAATTAACCACGATAGAAAACTCAGAGTACAATTTCTCAGGTAAGAATAATCGATACGGAGATTTTATATCAGATCCAGGTTTAATGCCAAATGCTGGAAAACCATCATCCCCGCTGTCAAAGTACAAATGTGAATCCTCGAATGGAACTTTAATGGCAGTTTGAAGATCATGTTCGTCTGAAAAATCATCATAAATTTAATTTTTGCTTAAAAAATATTTATAAGCTTGTAATATATATATATATATATAGCATTTAACTTAATTTGAAAGTATACTTTAAGTTCTCAAACCACAAAAAATATTAAAATGTTGTTTTTTTCGATTACCTATATCATTCGTATTATTATTTGAGGTGATTTTTAAATAACTCGTTTAAACACTTAAAACTAATATATTTGTAGAGTTTAAAATTATAAAACGTACAATATTTCTTTAGAACGAATCTTTTTTTATTTTATTTATACAAATCTGATGACTCGGTGATCGTGAACTCTCAGATACGTGCCGCATGACTTTGACGTAAGTAACTCCCTTAAGAGGTATTCTTACGACTATCTGGTCTATACCACCGTCGTCATTTTAGATGTATTGTTCTATTTCATTGTCTTTTGGCACTACACAGCTTACTGGAATGTGTAAAATGCATGTGTCTTTTTTTTTTTGTTATTAATTTAACGACCTTATTGTTTGTAAACTTATATTGTTACTACTACTATTATAAAATTTATTTTGATATTAATTATATTTACACATTATTTTATTATAATATATTATACACGCTAACATCGGTATTGTAGTCGTCCTTTAAAATATATAATTCGGTGATTGTGGAAACATAAAGACATAATATATTTATAATATATATGTTGTCTAATATTACCACATCGGTGCCGAATGTTGGTTTTGCATATGACATTTTGCATAAGAAAATACTGGGTAGGCGGGTGAATAAGTATAATGTGAAGAATTAGGGGCCTCAGTTTAACTGTCTATTAATTTTAATACATTAAATTATAAATAAAACGCACCCTGTTGCTACTGACCAAGTACTAGTTACTCATTAGTCATTCATTACGCTATGTTATATATTAATATCTAATACACACTGATACACTTCTTTATTAAATATTTGTATTTTATTATAAAATATACAGTAATTGTATTAGACCATCAAATTTGGCGTCAACGTTTGGTGATTATGGCCCATGGGTAATGAAAAGTTATTTACATTTCGCAACATATAATATTTTATCAAGAAGATAGTATGCTAAGGTGTTATTAAATATTTAAAATATTATTAAAATATTAAAGCTTTAAATGGTATGTATATGAAGTGTGGCCCTTGCTCTCTCAAATATGTTGTTGTGCACAGTTAAAAATCGCTGCTCTATATTTTCTGAAGAGGAATATTTTTTTAGTGAGTGGGTTGGTGTATTGACTCAAAATAAAATTGTCATAGGTATTTCAAAAATCAAAATAAACTAGCGCCACTTTATAACCGTACTAACCCCATAGTCATCAATATCAGACGTGATTACGAATCATTACCGATGTTAATCGTTGAAGATTAAATGTTTATATGGTGAAACTATACTATTATATTGCTATTATAATATATAATACTTTAAATGTATGTTGATAACTTTCGTTTTATTAAAAATAGCTACTTTTTTTTATTCATTTAATAATGTTTTTAGCACTGTAATATTATATTCTATCTAAAGGCTTGTATATATATATAGATATAAAAAAGCTTAAAAAATAAATATGTAACAAAATTAGTGTTTGGGTCATATTTTACAATTGTCGACTTGAATTTAATTTAAGTAGAAGTATACATAATTTTGCTTTGAAAACGATTATACATTTAAAAAATTTGTAAAAAAATGTAATGTTAAATTGCATACTTTACAGATGTGTAATAAACTGTTGAGCACTGATAATTTGTTTTATACGATTAAAATATATATTTTTTTTTCTTTCATGAATAAAGGTCTATTCAATAACCTGAGTAGTGCATAATACATGTCTAATGAAACAGTGTTCATTTTTTATCAGTTATAATTAAACAATATTAAGGAGTGTATAAAAACATTAATTATATAAATAATATAATTAATTAATTTGCACTTTGTCCTATCATCAATTTATTTTACACTTATAAAATTATTGCTTAAATGCTAATAAAAATCATAATAGATTTAAAAAAAAAATATTGAATAAATACCTAACTACTTATTTAAACATATCTAAATGATTCTATATGGGAATAACAAATTTTCAAGTTTATTTGTTAGATAAGATAAATAGTTCAGATCAAGAAAATATAAACTTTGTCAATAATACAAAATAATTTTCAACTAACATCAGCAAAAATTTGATAACCAATAAAATATGACTTTTTCTATCCGAAACAGCTGATTGGCTATAAATTAGAACGAAAACTGTAGCTGCAAACAAGTTTGACGTAAAATAAGTAATAACAAATAGTAAACTGTTCCAAAAATGGACACGATAATTTGTCTAAAACGTCATGTTTTGATCAAAGACATTTCAAGGTTTTTCAAACTGAATGATGAAGAAACAGCGATATTTATATAGATTATAGACTTAGAGCTGTGCAAATTAATCAATTAAACTAAAAGTGTTGGTAACTGACATTACATATTATTACATAATTGTATTTACTTATTTACTTGTTTGTTTTATTTTAATAAATAATAAAAAATAACAAAATATTGTATGGAATATAATAACAAGCATTGTTCTATAACTGAACATTAAAAATGAAAGGATAAGTAAAACATTATAAAACAAAATTCGATAAATTAAAAAAAAAATGTCTAAAAAAAAACAAAAATCTTTATTTCTATCAGTTACAACGTTCACAAAGTACTGAAAGTATAATATTAAGAAACTTAGACATCGGTTTAAAAGTTAGCTGTTGTTTTCTGTTGATTAGTTTTACTTTTTGGAGACATACAAAGTTTTAGAATTTAAGAGTATCTATAGATTTTAAAATGAAGTGTTCGTTTTTTTTTTTCAGTCTTATATGTCATCAATTTTTAAAAAGAGTGTTCAAAAACATTCATAGAGGTTGTAAGGTCAAAATGAACAGTACTTAAAGAACTATTTTTTTTTTTAATAATTTTCCAGTTTTCCATTATTCTCAGTTTTTTTAAACATTTAAATATTACTCGTATTTATAAAAATAGAAAAAAAGACTTAAGATTGCGCTCAAACTTTGCGGTTAAAATATTATTCTTTAGTTTTTCTAATATAAAAGTATTTTTTAAATACATTTATAAAATTTTGGTCATAGAATATTATAGCAAATTTATTTTTGAGCTCAGAAACACTGAATAATTCTTTAATTTTTTAACAACCTAAAATTGTTATGATCTAATTTTTAAAATAAGTTGTATACAGTCTATTCGTGTATACAGTTTTTTGGAAAAACATATTAAAATATTTATTTTTTACAAATGAAAATTTACATAACTCCTTATTATAATTTATTGTTAATTTTTAACACAATTAACACTACTCGTAGTATTCTGAATACAATTTAACAAGGTGAAATACATAGCAGATAGTTATAATTTATGTTTAAAAGGTACATATATATTTATAATTTGTAAAATATTTTATTTTTATGACCCTATTGATGTTTTAAAATTGTATATAAAGCATATTTTATCAGGTTCATTAATTACTTTAGCTATAATAACTTAGCACTTCAGTATGAATTAAATATCTGTCTTTTATTAATATTGAATATCATTATAAACAAGCTTACTTTATATTATATACTGGATGATTTGTTATAAAACAACATTATTACTAAGTTTAATAAAATTTCTAAAAATATTTTTTTTCACAAAATTTTCAGTTAAAATAAAATATAATTTTTATGAAAAATAATATATTTTTCATCATACATTTTTAATTTCATATCAAGGTTAAGATATATAAATAATTCAATTCCCTGAAAAATTTAGTATATAAAAAAAATATGTATATTGTCATTTAAAGGGGTAAAATTTAAAAATATCAAACTGTATATTTTGACTGGAAATTATGTAAAAAAAATTTTGAAAAATATTACTAAATTCTAAAAGAATGAGTGTTGTTTAATAAAATAATTACTTTGTATGTATAAATATATTATAAATGTATTACATAATGTTTTACAAAATATTCTATTCTAAGAAGAAAAAAAATAATAAATGATTGATTTAAACAAAGTCTAATTTATGTAATTCCAATATTGCTATTAGTATATCTTAATAAATTTAGTAACATAACAAACTTGAATATTTAAGGGAAAATATCATTAGGTCTTAAATAAAATAAACTGTTTTTTCATTTCAAATATACATGTTCAATAATATATATGAGGAAGGTTAGCGCTAATTTTGTTTACATTCACTTACATACTTTTTTTTTTTAAATTTTTGTTTTGGTAAAAAAAAAAAAAAATCAAATCAAATAATTGAGAGAGAAACTTTTTAGATCACAGCCATAATGTTATAATGCTCTATATCCTGTTACGCCAGAAAATCGCTGATAATTGGGTCTCGCAATCAAGTTAATTTATTAGAATATTGAAGCCGACGTATTTTTTTTCAGACAAAAAGCTTTTAGATGAATAAGATGAACAACGACTGATGCGTCGATGCCAATTAAAATGTAAACAAAAATTACAAGACACTTAATTTTAATTAAATGTTAAAACTGAAATATCAATGAAAAACAAAATAATATGACGTATTACATTATACACAAGGTAGAATAATCATCAATCATAAATTATATGATTCAAGACAGATTCAATGTGTGTTATATTTCATAACATATCGATCTGGAAATATTTTGTTGTATCGGATATCGAACAATACCGTATTATTAGAGCGGAGGCTGGTTACGTGTGTGTAAAAAATCAATGGAGGGTAAAACGGTTGTTGATGTCCAGCAACTCAAAAGGAGAAAAAATCTAAAACCCTTTAAAATAATTTAAACACGTGCGTTACCGATGTTAACGACTTAGCGACAAGCGTAGCAATATATCGAAGGATTCCACGAGACGACAATGAGTATAAAAGTAGAAAAAACACAACTCGAATACGGCGATCGTTTAATACTATTGTAAGTCGGCGTTTGATACAATAAAAGT